ATGACATAAAATTATTTAACACCACCAACAATGCTGCTGTCCTACAAAACGACCTCGACTATGCGTCAGAATGGTCGCGCAATTGACAACTCCAAATGCTGTGTCCTACACATGGGCAATAAAAATCAGAATACCAAATGCAAGTTGGGCGGAAACGACCTTGTAGATGACGCTCACTCTGTCAAGGACTTAGCTGTACAGTACTCATCTCAAATGATCTAAGCCCCAGAGCTCACTATAACAGCATTGCCCAAAAAGGCATTATGAATTGTTAACCTAATTTTGCGAAACGTCTTCTCTGGCAACATTGTACTGCTAACTGGTGCATACAAATACAGTTTGTATGCCTGGAATCCTGGAATCCACACTGTATATCAGACATTAATATGATCGAGTGGGTCCAGAGGTATTTCATGAGAAGTGTACTCCACTCTACTCACAATAGAATCCCTTATGCCACCAGGCTCAAAATTTTAGGCTTGGACAATCTCAAACTGCGCCACCTGAAGTTGGACCTAAGCATAGTACACAGAATTGTCTTCTACAACATCCTATTTCAGCTTCAAGCACAATAATATACGGGCAAACAATCAATACAAACTCAAGGAAAACTGTTCCAAACTCGATTACAAAAAATACGACTTCAGCAACAAAGTGGTCAATGCTTGGAATGCTCTATCCAACTCCATTGTTACATCCTCAAACCCTCACAGCTTCAGCCCTAAATTGTCTACCATGGACCTCACGCCATTCCTCTGTAAATGGGGTGTGCATAAGCGCACCAGCGTGCCTACTGTCCCTGTCCTACTATCCCCATTTATTTTTATTCATTTCCTTTGTTCATGTCCATATTCATACTTATACCTGCTATCCTGTACATAATTGATAAACTAATAATAAATAAATAAATTACTGCAAAACTGCACTTGTCTCAAATGCTGGTAAGAGACACTTCACAATCTAGTCTTCAACAGCACATGAACAGGAAGTGCTAGATGTATAAGCTAGATTAAAAAAAAACAGATGCACACAAGATCACATTACTAATATCCAATAGACAAGGGTGAGAGCCACGTTATTGACAAGAAATCTATAATTGCTTTATGAATTATGCCACACTGAGGGTAGCCCTTAATAAGATAGGTTTACCTAGGCCATTTCTTCTTACTGCATAAATTTGCATGATTACTAGGGAGCAACAGTTACAGTGAAATATGGTGCAATTAAATTGTTCAAAATTAATTTTGCACACTGCTACCTTCTTTATCATATATGCAAAGAAATGATAGACTAGAATTAGAAACTGGAATTAAAAGTGTTGGAAGAAACATCAACTGCCTCAGATATGTAAATGGAAGAAGGAAAAAGTAAGGAATTTCTTGTTAAAAAGTAAAATAAGCTGGTACAAAAAAGTTTCTTCTATTTATTAAAAATCCAATATGTGAAAAGGTAATGCCAATATACATAAAAAGATGGATAAGCTGTTGAAGTCTTCATATTTCCAGATTCAAGCATTCACTGATATGGTGACTTATTAAAACAAAGATGCCTGTTACTTGAAAGAAAATCTAAGATAACGTTATATAAAATACTGAGGTGCAGGGATATCATAATGGCAACACAGGTGCATATTATCAAGACTATTTTTTTCCCAGTTGTAACAAATAGCTCTGAAAACTGGAACATTAGAAAAGCTGAAGAAAAATCAATGCCTTTGAATGGTAGTGTTGGAAAAAATTGCTACGAATACCTTAGATTGGAAGAACAAATAGTTCATCGATAGATAAGGTAAAAACAGAATGCTTGCTGGAAGCACACATAACGAATCTAGTTTAAATATTGTGGTCACATAAAGTGAATCTATAGTCATTGGACAATATCCTGGAACTTGGAAAGTTCAAAAGAGATAAGAAAAAAAAATACCTACATGACTAGATGGCATCAGCGATGACACAAAATGACTTTAAAAGAACTCAAAGAAGCAATTAATGATAGACAATTGTGTCAAAGATTGGCATTCAATAAAGTTTAGAAGTGACCAAACAATTGTAAAGTGAAATCAAGAGATAAATTGACTGCTGATTTAGTTTTCAATGGTTTTTGTTTACAGTTAATATTTAAGGTAGATAACGGTATACTTGGAATTTAGCATCACAAAACAGTATTTGAAACTAAACTATATATAAAAGAGGACCATTTAATTGCTAAAATGCATAAACTTTTGTTGAAATTTGAAATGGAAGAATAAGTGGAACAGTATGATAAAGTGAGCAAATAACTTTGGACAATATTTATTACTTTATTTATTCATTTATTTATATCCTGCCTTTATTATTTTCATAAATAAGTCAAGGTGACAAACATATCCAACACATCTCTCTTCCTATTTTCCCCAAAACAACCCTTGTGAAGTGGATTGGGCTGGAAGTGACTGGCCCAAGGTCACCCACTTGGTATTTATGGACTTGAACTCACACTGCCTTGCTTTCTGGACTATTGCCTAAACTACTAGACCAAACTGGCTCTATCAATATAAAGAGAGAACAATGGGAAAATATGTAACTATGAACTTTTATAAAATGATGTACCACTGGTACATGACGCCAGAAAAAATATCTAAAATGTATAAAGATGCTGCAAATTTATGATGGAAATGTGGAAAATATGAAAGGTCATTTTATCATGACTGGCAGACATGCACAAAAGCTAGAGAATCTTGGGTTAGAATATGTATAGTGATAGAAAGAATTTTAAAGAGTAATATATTCAATTGAAAGCAGAGATCTTATTGGAACTAATAGACAGACACTTAAAAAAGAGTTATGGAAGACTTTTTATATGTAGCTGCTGCAAGATTTTATGCTAAAAATGGAAAGGTTCTGAAATATGTATGATGGAGAAATAAATGATAAAGATGACAGAATTAACAGAGAGACAGCAAAATTGTCTTATTAGAGAAAGGACAAAATATATTTATTACTAGCAGGAAGCTTCTTATAGACTTTTTGTTGAAAAATTTAAAAAAATGAGCTTGTGCTCTATGGATTTGATGATGAGAAAGGCTAAAGAATGGAAAAAAGGAAGTTATGTTGCGGTCTTAGAAAGAGAGAGCTAAATAGCACTAGCAATAGCACTTAGACATATAGCACTTTACATTGCTTTACAGCCATCTTTAAATGGTTTACAGAGTCAACATATTGCCCCCAACAATCTGGGTATTCATTTTACCCACCCCAGAAGGATGAAAGGCTGAGTCAACTGTGAGCCTGCTGAGATTTGAACTGCCAAATTGCAGGCAGCAGAAGTAGCCCACAGTACTGCACTTTAACCACTGCACGGCTCATATATTTGTAATTGCTGTTAAAGATTGGAAGCCATTTGTTTACAACATTATCTGTTTTTCCTTTCTTTTCTCTATTTTTTCTTTGCATTTTTTGTTCTTCTTTTTGTTCACTTCCCTTACTCTTTTCTTTCAAAATTTGCATTATTTTTAAAATATTTAATAAAAATTATATTAAAATGAAAAGGTTTATAAGCGACAGCACAATTGATTAGTAAGTCTGTGTTATGTTGCTGTCTATACCTATTTGTCCTCAGCGAAGAGGTGCTCTGGTTGAAGTTGGGTTTATGGAAACAATAGGGATTGCTGCTGGTGTATTACCAGCCCTGTTTCTCAACAGCTTCTCTGCCTGAGTTGCTGAATTCCATTGCTAAGTTGGCAATAATATCTCTAAAGATGCTGCTCACGTATTTTCAAAACCTTGCAGTTCTTTCTCCTCCAAAAGTGAAAAAGTCAAATGAAATAAAATGACAGTCAAGCTGGCCAATATTAGTATCCTCTATTTTCTTGATGATGTCAAAGCAAGCAGTCTAGTTATTATGACCAGTTTTAAAGACAACTATGCAGCAGAAAGGTAACATAACACCACTGTATTACAATCTTAACACTATAGGGAATGAGCCAAGGAATTACGACAAAATGCAATGGTAACTGGTAACCAATGGGTAACTGCCTTGAAGCTCTTGCATTCACATTGCAGAATCCTCCAAAGTATTTTAAAATATATCACAGCAGAGGCATAATCCATGAAAGCTCATTGACCAATAATCGATTGCATGATTATGTAGGTATAATGCTAATCTGGCAGCAAAGCATCTGAACATATATTAATTGCTCATAGTTGCTATGAGTAATACAAATCTTAGTAAGTACTTTAGAATGCAAGGAAACATAAGTGAAATATCTTATTATCAATTTGGGAGGCCTAGCCTCTTCCCAAATTGACATGATTTCATACTCATAGGACAGCTACAAATAATCATGTGAATCTGGGAAGAGGCACAATGTAATGGTTCAAAAAGGAAGTGCTTGTTACTGGCCAAATGTTTTCCAGAGTACCTCTTCTGAAAGCATTTTAAAGCCCTAAATAAATCTTAAAAGCCCTAAATAAGTCTGTCAATTCATACAAAAGCTCCCATTACCAGGTTATACATCCAGTCGTTCCAATAGCTATGTTACACCCACTGCTTTAATGGCATCTCTACTTTCACATATTACATACATGTTTACAGCCTTAATGCATCATTCATTCATAAAGAAAAAAAATATCCCTAAGGTTAATACTATCAAGTCAATATGAAATAACTGTGGGTCAGATTCCCATCCTGAACTAGAATACAAATTAGCTTTGAAATGCCAGGATGGCACCATTGCTAATGCAAATGAAATCTAGCATGAGCAGTACATTAAGGTGATTTAAAAAAACAAAACAATAAGAAATACTGAAGTCCATAAGAATCGAGTCCTTTCCATTTGCTATTATTTTGACTTTTTAAAGAATGTTGAGAGTTTCAGACTAGGAAACTGGAGCTGGGGTAGCACACTGCATGCAATACTGAGAAAGTAGATGAAGAAATGTATAGCGTAATGCATGCAGCGAAAAAACAGAGATGCAGGTCTGTGATGATTGTCTTGCACATACATATTAGTAGACACTGACCTGGTGTTCTGAAGCAATCCTGCATCATTCCCAATTTCCTTATTTATAGCTGTCCTGTCAAAGTTTTTCTCCTCAAATTTCACGGTCTTCTTTTCTCTTTGCTCTATTGGTGGAAAAGGAACATTATTCATGGACTTAATTTGAAGGGTAGTTTTGAGATCAGCCTTAGTTTCTTTAGCCAGTTCCTTGTTTTGAAATGGCAAATGAGAAGAATCACACAAAGAATTACTGATATTGAAGCTGTCTGAAGACCCATCCTTTTCATCCTTCTTGAGGCTGATCAGTTGGCCCATTAATTCTATGAAAGAGAATACAAAATTAAATCAGAGTAATTCTTTAGAACATAATTTATATAGGGGTGTTTGTTTGTATACATATTTATTCCTTGGTGACATGCCTTTTCACAAACTTAACAACTGAGGGAGAGACAATTGCGCACAAGAATTCTTATTAGAGTAGTTCTCACAATGAGTCATTAATCTCACTAAAGCATTCTCTAAGATGGTTATATTTATAAGAGCTCATTCATTTGTTTGTTCACCAATTGTGTTATTCTCTTTTAGGATAAGTAATATTATGCAAAGTGCAGAAAAAAAGGCAGTAGTAGTAAGGAAAGGAATTTAAAGGTAGAAGTTTAAAAACAAGAAATCTAGTTAAATAATTTCCATGAACTCCATTCACTACACTGCACCATGTCTTTTTTGTCTTGCGAACTGTCCTTATTTTCACACCCATACAATGAAATGTGGCTTCTCATTCGTTAACTTACCTATTAACTGCATCCAATCTTCACTTTCTCAGTCACCTCAACCTCATACATTTATTTTGTGATTCAATCCTATTTACTTCTGACTGAATTTCCTCACCTGGCCTATAGTTAGTTATCTCAATGTTTAAAAGTCTCCATTTCACCTCTTTCATTGTGCTTTCCTCTCTTCAAGTTGTACTTTAGGTAGAAGCGAAGGTTTTTCTAATCAGTGTCTCTCTTCAAACTCTTTAAACCAGCAATGGCGAACCTTTTTTGGCTCACGTGCCATAAGTGAGGGGAGCGCAGGGGGGGTCATGTGTGGACGTTCCACACCCATAATGCAATGTGCGACCCTCCCAGGGCGCATGCACACACTACAGGCGCTCCCCATTGTTTGCATGCTTTTTTGGCCCTCCCCAGGCTCCAGAGGCTTTATAGGAACCTGGGGAGGGCGAAAACAGCCTCCCCGCCCCCCTGGAAGCCCTCTGGAGGCTTCAGGGACCTTCAGGAGGCTTCCCTGAAGCCTCTGGAGCAGTCAAAACAACCCTCCGAGCAAACCGGAAGTACTTCTGGTTTGCTCGGAGGGTCGTTTTGAGCGCTCCAAAGGCTTCAGGGACCTTCAGTCAAAATGACCCTCCGAGTGAACTGGAAGTCCGTTCCCAAACTTCCGGTTTGCTGTAGGGTCGATTTTTTGCTCTCCGGAGGCTTCATGACCTTCTCCGGAGGGCCTCCGGGGGGGGGGCTCTTTTTTCCCTCCCCAGGCTCCTATAAAGTCTCTGTAGTCTGGGGAGGGCAAAGAATGGCTTTAAAAAAGGGTGAACTCAGCTGGCCAGGGCGCCTCGCATGCCCTGACAAATGGCTCCGCGTGCCACCTGGGGCACGTGTGCCATATATTCACCATCACTGCCCTAAACTGATCCTCTGAAAGCACCTCTGTTATACAGGTCCTGATTCTGAACTCAGCATGGCAAGTCACTGAGTAACCAAGTCCAATGGGCATACACAAAGTTCAGGAAAGCAGTCCACAAGCTGAACATGTCAGGATACCCGGCACGATCACCCAAGACACCAAACTGGGCATGTTGCTCTAGCATCGCTCAAATCCTCACAGTGGGACTAAGTAGGCAATGCCAGTACAGTCCTTTGAGAGACAAAGTCGTCTCCTTGCGAATAGTCTAGCAGATGGGCATTGTCCCTGTCTCCTATACGTTGTTTGGGATCAGGAGGAGGTGAGGACTCCACCTTCTCTCATTGCTAATGGGTAGCAGCTGCTCTAGGTCCTTGCCTGGAGCCTCCTGGTCAACTTGCTGCAGTTGTGGCTTGCCTCCCTCAGCCATCGAACCAGCTGAGGCTGCTCCATCGGGCCAACACTTTCGGTGGCCTGATCCTGACCAACACTCGGCTCCAGTACTTTCCTCTGCCAACTCAAAATCACCCTTATCTGTTGAACTCGAGTCCAGAGTGGGGTGGACTCATGACACTTATACATTTTATTCGTTTAACACTCTGATTATATTTAAAAGCATATCCTCCAACAACAGCTCCTGCTGAATGTAACCTTTTTCCTTCTCAACACCCAATTCTCACTTTCATATAACAATGTGGGCTGAACCATAGTCTTCATCATTTTCACTTCTTTCAACATAGATTCATTTCTTACAACATACCACCAGCTATCTTTTTACTAGCATCTCACAACTTAACATTTTTCATGTGTTTACTGGTTAATAGAAATGATAGCTTGATCTCTTTTTTTTCTGCCTTATATACAAAACACAATATTTGGCCTCGTCTATTAAGTTTTCAGAGCATTATCCCCCTGATGGATGAGCAGAAACTCAAAACTGCACATCTGATTTCTTTCTAATATTTCATTGGGTTAGCAAAAATAACATAGTAGGGAAGCATGCAGAGCACGGCTTTTGGAATCCATTACAATCCTCAATACAAATTTCCATCTGGGAAAGAGGAGGGAGATGGGCATAGAATGGAGCTGCCAATAATTTCAGATGCTGCCAATTTGTCTGTCCCACAATGAATGCATTTTAGGATTTTTTTTCTCTACAGCCCCAACTGGGTCCACACCATTTTTGAGCTTGATTTTTTTTTTGCCAACTTTTTCCCCAATCGCTGGTTTAATGCCAATCCATTCTATTTTCCAAGAGTTGTATGGACAGACATACCAATCGACTTTGAGACCTGTTTACATGACTCCAACATTCAACCAGGTTAAAAAGAACAAAAGTAAAAGGAAACGAGGCCTTCTCCTTAGTGATTAATTAGCTTCATCATTGCAGTCAGCTACAGGACCTGATAGTTACTACTTTGCTACTACTCTGAGGCCTGGGAAGAAGGCAGAAGCAACTCTAGGATTAAATCTGAACAGGCCACTCCGAAGAGGAACAATCTTTCTGAATGATAGAACTCTGTGCCGGCCTCTTACTGCTGCATAAGGTCTCCATGGAAAAATTGTGATTTAGTAATCTCATCAAATCCCGCAGAATTTGGCCAAAAAGGCTGAAAATTTTCCAGTGAGAATTTCTTGCCTATTCTGCATCCCTCAGTGCTTGTCACTTTTAGTTCTTAATTTTTTTAAAAGCCTGAGCTGTCCAGTCATTCTAGTCAATCTGCCTTTAAATCTAATAAAATAAATAAATAGCTCTGAACTCAGTTTCCAAAGGGGACCTGGAACAGTTAACCTCTCAATTTATCAAGGGAAAATTACTGGTCTGAGGTATGCAGAGTCTTTGTCAGAGTACTCTGCATTACAGACTTTATAATTTTTAATGATATGTTATCAAGAAAAAACGTCTTCCTTAGTGTGTGAGCATTGAAAAAATCTTATAAACTCTTTTCAATTGCCTAGGGAAATCTGTTTTTGCAATACTCTGGCTCATATATAAATTGGTTTGCTTTATCAGCTATTGGCATTTCTTCTTCTTTCCTAACATAGGATAAAACCTCAAATGAAGATTACAATCTGAGTTACTCATGCTAACAACCTGTTGACTATTCCTCCTACATAATGGGCCCTTTGTTGGGGTCCATCAAAGGTCCATGGATAAAAACAATTAGAAGAACAAGCTACATGGATCAAGTGTGTATTCTTCTTTAGATGGCAGGAAGGACAAGGGGTAGTGAATGAAACAAGTTTGGCAACAAGTATGGTATCCACATCCAGGTGCAATAAAATGTTCTCAATAATGGTAAAAACATTCATGCCTGGATCTGTATTGTCTATTACTCCAAGGAACTTAAAGTATGTCCAACTGCAGCTTGAACTAGTGCATAACTCACAGATGACATTCCCTATACAAATGAAGGTGATTGCTACTGAGAAAAAGGAGATCTACCCTGGCAGGGGGCTTCACTTTCTAAAAGTGCTAGTGGTCTGAATCACAGTAATATTCCTCCTGTTTCAAAAAGATCTCCTAAAGTCTGGGTTTGCAACACAGGGCTTCCACATGGGTTCCAATTGTTAGAGAAAATAAGAAAAGAGGGGGGGGGGAATAAAAGAATGAAAAGGCAGCACACAACTCTCAACAACACTTCACAAACTGGAACTAAACTGAGAATCTCCTAGTCTCCCTAATCAAGATGAAGAAGTAATACATTTTCAAGATACACTTCTCCACTGAAAGAAAACAGAAGAGTTTGTGCAGCCTGTTCTATGTCTATTTGCCTCAATGAATAACTTATATTGTTCCAAGGTCTCTCCCAGGCTTCTGAATTCTCAGCTATGCACAAACAATACTAAGCAACTCCCAGTTGAGACTATGCAGTGAATGTATAACTCTAAAAGCCTTTAAGAACCTCAGCCAGTTCCCACACTAAAAGGCAGTATACGGATGAAAGTGGTGATTTACTAGGGAAAAGGGATAATTACCTTCTGGTTCATATTTGATTTTCAGTTCATCTAATAGCACACTCAAATTTATGTTCTCACTCTGACAAGCTTTAAGTTGCTTTTCAGTTACAAAAAGCTTTCGCTCCATCTCTAAGACTCTCTGACTTTCAAATAAAGCTTTCATCCGCTGTAAAGATAATTCATTCTTCAAATGTTCTTTCTCCTTACTAACAATAAGGAAACAAAAAGTATTAGAAAACATACAATTGCATAAAGTCAACCTCCACATCGCAGGTCTCAGTTCCTTCCATCTTTTTCACTTAATCCCCATATAAAGATATTAGGATTAAAAACGTGTAATATATGAAGCAAAATTAGCAGCCAAAACCATTCAAAAAGATTTATGACACTCTCAGTACAGAACAATAATGACTTTTCTAGCCAGCGAAAATCTGTCGCTTTCAGGAGAGAATACAGAAGGAAAAAAAAATTGAAGGAAGAGAACAACTTCAATTATCATTGAAAAATATCATTGAATCTGGCTCATAAAGTAATATTAAAACATTGAAAGTGGTGTATGATTAAGGTATTGGACTAAGACCAGGAAAGATCAGCTTGGGCCCACCTTCAGATAGGGAAAATCAGTAAGCCTCTCGGCTTAGCTCTACTGTGTATGGCAGAGGAAGATAAACAGGGAAGAAACATCCAGAATTCTGAACTCATGTTAATATTCTAAAAAGCATTGTTTTTTTTATTTCTAAAATATCTACTAATATTCAAAGTTCTGGCTTTCTTGTTGCATGCAGGTGTGTTTTTTTCCTTATTTTTTTTTTCATCCTCTGGAAGTTGAATCAGTGGCAGGATAAAGAAATTACATTTTATGCTATATGTAGTCTTCTAATCCAAGTAAAACATTTGGACATGGATATTGGGTTCATATACAACATGGTAAGTAAGATATGATTTGTTTAGTTTAGGATATTACAGTTAATCTATGACTTATGACTGTAATTTAGCCTGAAATTACAATACTAAAAAGTGCTGGTTGTTAAACATAAAGTAACTGACTTAATTCTACATTTGTTTTGCTGCAATCATTAAGCAAATCACCATGGTCATTAAGCCAGTGGCACAGGTGTCAATCAAACTCAGTGTCCCTAATGGGAGCTTCTTCCAGAAACCAGAAGTAAATGCCGGTTTCCAGCAACAAAAATAAAATTATGGTCACGTGACTTTGGGATACTGAAAATCATAAATGCAAGTGGGTTGAATACCCAAAATGTGATCACATGATCACTGGGACCACTTGGAATCCATGTCATAAGTACTTTTTTGGAGGGGAAGTATTTGTCATAATGTAAGTTGAAGGCTACCTACACATTAACTCAGCTCTTTTGTTGGAATCTGATATTGTCTTATTTATTCCCCTTTCCCTATTTTATTGTGAGCCGCCCGGAGTCCTTCGGGAGTGNAATATTCTAATTTTCTGAGATTGTGGATTTGGGGTTTTCATGAGCTGTAAGCCATATTCATCACAATTATGACAAATTACAGCTTGAATTATCTTGCTTTGCATGTAATGTGTCTATGTCATATATTAGTTTCACCTTTTAAGTTGCATTACTGAAATAAATGAACCTTTGCACGATATTCTAATTTTTCAAGTTTCACCTGTATACTGCCCTAGTGCTTTTTGCACTTTCTGGGTAGTTTACAAATGGCACCATATTGTCCCCAACAATCTGGGTTCTCTGTTTACTGACCTTGATAGAATGGAAGGCTGAATCAGCCTTAACATGGTCAAGATCGAACTCCAGGCTATGAATAAAGTTTACCTGCAATACTGCATTCTAAATACTGTGCCACCATGATTCCTATGTTTTTGTTTTTGGTGTACTAATTCTTTTGTTAAGTTCTCAGCAGAAAGTGAGAAAATATGTATTAACTGAAATAAGCTATTAGGCTGGAGGCCTGTATTTATTTGTATCTAAACATAAACACAGTTAGCTCTGTTGTGAGGTTAACAAACTACCAAGATGACTTCTAATGTATACCTGTTTTATGTTTCATATTAATATAAAGCAGGTATACATTTAATTTTTCTCCTAATTATTTATAGTTGTCTAGCAGTCCTTTTGCTTTAGATTAATGCACCTATGGTGTATTAAATCATTACTAGTAGATCTGCTGATCTACAAAATATTCAATACTTTGTTGGACAAAAAAGAAACAAGCATGGATTCTCTGGAGTAAATGTGGAAAAACAAAGGGAAAAATAGCTATTATGGTCTCTGTATAAATAAAGTCCTAAGAGCTTGTAATTTATAGCAAGTTAATCCACTAGCTTTAACTTCTCCATTTCTGTTTCATATTATTGAAGTTCTAAAGATTGATAATTGCAGTGTAATGTAGAATTGGCAGAGATTCAGCTCAACTAGGATTTTATCAGGTTTTCCATTATAAGTATCTGTTTTGAAAAGAGTACACTGTTATTTAGTGGAAATGAAATCCTTAGAGGAATACAGGTTTTTGAATTTACATCCATAAATACAAGGCTTTTGCTTGTAGGATATGAAATCTCTTCACCCCGGATCTGTGCAAGTTAGAATTATTGCCTCCACTATGTGTATTACCGGGAGAAATATCAATAACCTCAGATATGCAGATGAGGTTCTGCCACTCTAATGGCAGAAAGTGAAGAGAAACTAAAGATCCTCTTGATGTGGGTGAAGAAGGAGATTGCAAGAGTTGGCTTGAAACTCAACATTAAGAAAACTAAGATCATAGCATCTGGCCCTCTAAATTCCTGGCAGATAGATGGGGAAGAAATGAAGATAGTGACAGATTTTATTTTCCTGGGCTCCAAGATCAACACAGATGGGCAGTAGAGCCAAGAAATTAAAAGACACTTGCTCCTGGGGAGGAACGCTTGGGCAAATCTAGACAGCATACTAAAAACCAGAGACATCACCCTGCCAACAAAAGTGTGTATAGTCAAGGCTATGGTTTTCCCATGACTGTGAAAGTTGGACCATAAGAAAAGGCTGAGCACCCAAGAATTTAGGGCTTTGAACTATGGTGCTGGAGAAGATTCCCGCAAGTCCCTTGGACTGCAAGGTGATCAAACCAATCAATCCTACAGGAGATCAACCCTGTCTTCTCTTTAGAAGGCCAGATCCTGAAGATGAAACTCAAGTTCTTTGACCACCTAATGAGAAGGAAGGACTCACTGGAGAAGAGCCTAATGCTGGGAAAGA